TGGGGAATTCTGGGAGTTGAAATCCACCCATCTTCAAGCGGCCAAGGTTGAGAAACACTGGATTGGATCAATGGCTGGAAAGTTAGTCACTGAATGTTCTGCTGGGCTAAATAATTCTCAATCCTCCACGGGGTTTTAAGGAGCTTCGAGGAACTTTAAGGGATCCTTTATTCCTATAGGCTGAAAACTTGCTCTGAATCTACAAACCCCTGACACGCTGGGATCTCAGTGAGAGACTTCCCGTTTCCATCCTCTGATCCAGCTCGGTGACGACTCTTAGCCGACCTTGGCTGATTTCAAAAAGGAAACTGGGGCCAGGACCTGATTAGTAATGGGACAGGAGACCACCAGGAAATGCCAAAGTTGGAAGACACACAGAAGTTGAAACAATATCCTGGAAGAAGGCAGTAGCAAAACCACTTCTGCACTGTTGCCAAGAAATCTCCATGCTGCTCTGTGTAGCCAAGCAGAGGAAGGGATTGTACCCAGCCCCTCTTGGCTGCCCCTCCCCGCAAAACCAAGAAGGGCTGAGCTTAATGAGAAATTGGATAGGAGACCACCAGAAAATCTTGCAGCCATAGGTTGGACTGGGAAATCGAGGAACATCTGTAAAAAAGACATTGGCGAACTATTTTGCATGGCTGCCCAGATATTTTTATATCTATTTATATTTCAAATTTGGTCACCACCCATCTCACCAGGAAGTGACTCTGGGCGGTTTACAATAAAAACAACAAATAAATATTAATTAAAATACAATGACAATAGAATAAAAATACAATAAAAACCACATACATACATAAATACTAATATCTTCCAAGGTGCTGCTGGTAGAAAAGATATTAGCATTCAGGAGCATCTTCAAGGTGCTAGCCACCCCCAGGGTTGCCCCTTTTCTCGCCCCATGCCAGTTGGCAGAGCCGGTTGGCAGAGCCAGGACTTGACTGCTTTTTGGAAGGTCGAAAGAGTTGGGGCCTCATAAACTCATCAGGAGCTGAGGCAGAAATGAAAGGGAGTTTCTTTTATCTTTTTTTCGTCCTCTGGGGACTTTGATCTTTTAATTGCAAGGGAAAAGAAGCCTGTGATCCTGGGTAGCAGCTGAGCTTTGGCAAAACATTACGATTTCCTCTGCGTAGATCAACCCCTGTTTTCTGTAGCCCATTCTAGTCACTGCTGTAATAAGGGGGAGGGAGGAAGTTTTAAGGATATAGCTATAACAACAAACTTAATTAAGTAGGAAAGTGTTCCTAACTTCAAATAGAAGTATAAAGTGCAGGATAGAACAGAGTGACTGTGTTGACACAACTCTTAACCAAGCGATGTAAAGATGTAGTAGATACATTCATACATGCTAAGCTTGGTTAACATTAACTTGGTTTGTTTTTGGTTGTTTACAACAGGGTTCCTCAACCACTTGAAGATGGGTGGACCAACTCCCAGAATTCCCCAGCCAGCCATGCTGGCTGGGGAA